CGGGCCGACCTGGCAATCACCGCAAATTACAGGCCCGACGACCGACCGACACATTCGGACCGGCGTGCGGGCCCTTTTTGTTCGGTCATGCCGTGTCTAGGTGAGGGAACCCGCGCGCAAGAAGGGCCGAAGGAGCGAGGGAGATCTCTAATGACGGGTCTGGGTTCGAGAGAGTGGAATCGAAGTGTTCGGTAACCTTGGCGCTTATAGCGAGAGGTTTTAACGGCGTGGTTACTGGTTGCGACTGGAGACACCGCGCCGGAATGGTCGCATTACGTGCTCGTGTTCCTGTCGGTTCGGGCGGCAATCGTCGTAGATATCTCGATGTGAGTGGTTGGTACAGAACGGCGTGCTGATAGCTGGCCTCTGAATATCGCGGAACGTGTAATCCCGAACACTTTTCAGTATGTCTGTCCGGGTCTGTGCTGTTACGATGAAATCTCACCATATGCGATGATATCGTGGGCTCTAAAGATCGGCTCATGTAAGTTCTACCTCTGCTTGCTATTAGCCTGAAGATCGTTCTACTTCGCCAATCCATGTGAACTAGGACGAGCGAGGACAGGCTCGGATCAAAGGCTTCTTCGACTCGAGAGGTCCTTGGCTTTAATTGCCTGCTCGATAACGTCATTGTGGAATTCGTTCACAGGCCATTAGAGCTCGAACAGTGGCATTGTTTGATTCTTGTCATTCAGCGGATTCCTGGATACGTTCCGTGAATAGATCGGGCACACCTTTCCCATTCACTCGCCATTGTTTCAACGAAGAAGTGGGCCTCGTTTTCTCACGAATGGCTATTTCGGTAGCCAAGATGCTTTGAAACATGTCTTCAATGGGCAAATTTGGCTAATGTGAGACCTAAGTGTTAACCCAAGCTAGCTGTGAAGGACGTAATGGTGGGAGCTACCTTTATGTTTAGTTTCCTCAAAATTACCTGAACGGTGGCTTGGCGAGTGGTGGTCTCTCAACTTCTACTTACGGTGCTAACATCGGTGCTACCGCCTCCCTCTTTGCTAAACGATTGGCTAGACGCATGCACTGCATGCCCTAGATGTGCTACATTCTACCATATGCGCTCTCTTTCTCTTCTCACCTTTTGCGCTCGCGCGTGTTCCGCTCCGCCGCGATGTGCACGCGCTCTGCATTGTGTGGGTGGGTTGTGGTGGGGAGGATGTTTCTGCGCTGACCACGAACACGGTTCTTCCATTACAAAGATCGCCTACCTGGTGATCGTGAGACGCATCCGGTGGAGATGGTGCGTGGGCAGCGGCGGATTCAGCGCCGCTAAGAAGGGAGGGGCGAGATGGAGATGATGTGTGGGAGAAATGAACTAACGGAGGAGTGTGTTGTGCTCAGAAGCGCACACGACTATGCGTGAAGATATAAGAAATGTAGATTTTGGTATGTTGTAAGCTGGCATGATTTGGGCGGCAGCGTTTGAAACTAGGCCTTGCGTTGCTCGTTTCAAGACAGGTTGCTTGAAATCGCAGCTTTGCCCGACAGGGATTGTCCAATGTCCAACCCACATTGGATAATGGTCCATAGTTTTCACAGCTACTCTGGCCCAAAGAAGACCACTATGGAAAACCAGCTTCGCTACATCTACTTGCCACTTGCCACTTACCTAAGCTACGACAAGCACGTTTGTCACTGCTGTCACTTTGGTCACATTTAAGATGAGCAACATTATTTTTAATTGCCGCAATGGATCAGAGCCAGCACTTGTGTACAGTTTTCTTGCGGTTGAGTCACATCGCGGGCGCGAACAGCGTAAGCGTCCATTCATATGTGTCACACCGCACTGAAGGGAAGGGTAACACCACGCGCGCACGGGCCGGTCAGCCAGACAACGCCTGTGTACCGTCTCTTCCCGACCACACAGCGAGACTGGTACGTGTCGTCTCTTGTCGCAACTGGGGCCACACACACGCGCCGACAGACAGACAGACAATCGTGCGCGGACACAGCTGGTGTCGGAAGATACGACCATCCATCCAGCGCCAGCTTACGCTCGCTCGGAATGGGCCAGAACACGGGACAATTTATGGTCGGCTGTAAAACCAACAGACGGCGAGCGTCCGACTGACGTACCGTGACGTCACTGGGGTGCTGGTGACGTCATTGGATTGTGGGTGATGTCATTGGATCGTTGGTGATATCGGTTGCCTGAATTGGTGATCTGAGATGCCGTGGAGTGTTTCAGAGGTGGCGAGTGGCGACTGGTCACGTATTCTGCCGTTTTAAGACTGGGTGGCTGGCTGAGGGAAACGTTTGAAGCCTGATTCGTGAATTATTGAGCTGATGTGATTTGAAACGAGACGGTTAAAATGCAGTGTTTGAAGCCTCGAGATGTTGCGAATGTTCTTGACTGCTGTGCTGCCCCCGCATTGATTCAAATTATTTTCCACGAAACGTCTACCTCACTGGAGTGGATACACTATTTCCCTTGTGGTCATTTATCAATGAAGTTGCTTCCACTGACAAATTATCTGGTAGTTATCGGGAACATTGCCTCATATGCGTGGCACATCTTCCTTTAGATATCACCCCCTCCCCAGCTCTTCTCCCTCCGTCCGCCGTGTCCCCTCGAGCCCTCCGCCCCGCCGTGGGTCCGGCGCCACCCCTAATGGAGTGTCCACAGCGGCAACCGCTGGTCAGACAGGCGGTGACTGATCGTGTCTCTAATGTCGACCGATGTCGGACCGTGTTCACCGCCGGCCAACAGCCCGCGGCTAATAGCTAATGCGATTCTGATGAGGCCCCGCGGCGCTTTGCGTCAAAGGCAGATTGAGGAGTGTGATGGGGAGGATATGAGTGGTGTTGCAGTGGTGGCTGGATGTAGTGTTAACGAGGGATGTGGTGTCTCATTGACAGCTCTGGAAGCAGAGAGGAAAGAGGCCTCCGGGCTTCGCGTGTATTCCCGCAACTGCTTGTGATCAAAATGCATTGCGGGCGTTTTACGAGATTCTCTGGGCGTTTCCGTGGACATTCGCGAAATGTACGCCTCATAAACAAATGTAAATTTTGTTAATTGTAGTGCTGAGTGCTCTGCTAGCGTATTTAATCTTGCTTATCTACTGTGGACTAGTCTTACATCAACCGAATGTTGATGATACTTATTTCCATAATTTACGTTTATCTTTTCTCATCTCGTATCCTGGGTATCTCAGCGGCCCTGCCATGAGTTTTCCAGAGTTGTAGTTTGGCAGAGGCGCCGTGGCCAGATACGGCGATTATCCCGGCCTGGCACCATCAATTTCGCCACAAGTGCCTCTGTCGTCGCCAGGCAGCTGTGAAAAACCGCCAGCAACGGCCGGCGTGCTGCCAGGTCTTCTGCAGGGGTGCTGTCTGTCGCCGGTACTTTTTGCGCCCCGCTCGTGCGGCGCGAAAAGACGGCAGGACGTGGTCTGCAAAACGTCCCACGTAGAGTCAACACTAGAGAAGGGGACGACTAAGTGCGTGGCACAACTCCTTCTCGGGAAGTTTTAAAAGCAGTGCCGCTGCCGGATGGGGCGTGTAAAAGTTTGAAAGGCTCTTGTCACAAGTCGATGGAGTTGAAGCGTGTTGGAGACAGTTTGGTTCCGTTCAGTTTTTATGTGAAGTTTTGTTGCGATTTATTCAATGGATAAACATTGTGATCTTGTGTCAAATCAGAGCTAGCATAAGCCGAGTACTGTAGCAAACAAAACTTTAATTTGATCGTTTTTAGTAACACATAATAAAGTGGATACCACAAAATGTTTGCTCCCCTCTGGTATCCTTACGTATACGCAGCTGTTCAACCGGAATTATTTCAACCACTCTCTTTTTACTTGTTACATTTTTATGATTCACGATAGTTGGCCGTGCTGTTTCCGCTGTAATGCCACTTTTCTTTTTCTGCTCCTCCAGGATACGATAATCCGTCTCAAAATTGTAAACCCAAACAGTTGTGGAAAAACAAAATGACATCGCTCTCGTGCCTCCAAAGGCTGCAGATGCGGGGCAATATCTCTCAATCCATCCTCTTTTTCATGCTGCCGGGTGTCTGGTAGCCGAATCGGTTATCTCCTCTCGCTGGCGCTGGCCCAATTTTCGGGACAGAAACGACCCGCTTCTTCCGAATTGCTGCTTCGGTCCCGGTTATTCCCACAAAGGCTGTTGTGTGTTTCCAGTGTTGCGTAGATTGCGCTTTTTGTGATAGAGCATTCCGGTGTCTCTTCAAATGAATGAATCTGCGAATACTTTTGGTTTGCTGTATTCTTGCTGCTCGCGCAAACGATTGGGTACTTTGCACGTTATCTTTATAAAGTTTCCAACCAAATTGTATTATCTAGCTCTCTATTTCTTTCTCGCTCAACCATCAACATGATTTTCGAATGATCAAAAGAATCAGCATCACAGCTTACCTGACCGGACTCGCACGAAGCTCACACCCATTCCACGCTATCGTTCCCCGCCCCCACCTCTCCTTCCCACCCTTTTATCTCGGCCGGGCTACGCTCGATGCTAAGCTGATAATGGCCAATCTCCTCCCTGGTCACTGATAATGAACCGATCACCCCCCAGAGATAAAGCTCGGTACGATGGCTTCCCGGTGCTTTGAGTATTGTAGTGCGTTAGCAATGGCTGTTACATACGAGGACTGTTTCAAGACTAGCTCTAAGATCAGAAACGCCTGAAAGTGTCTCATTGATTAGGTACTTTGATGTCAAATGTATCTTGTCGAAAGCGTTGTAGATTGTAGCTAGAGCATTAGGTCAATATTCGTTGCTCGAGGAATCGTGAAGGTAACCTGATCCTGTATAAGTCGTACTTCAATATATCCCCTGTCGCTAATGATTCTAGTCGCTCCTTTGCCTTTTCTTATCGCAGTCACTTATTTATTCGCTCGTTATAAGTGATTTGCGTCCTGAAATCGACCACATTTTCTGTCCATGCTAAATATCTAACCTAGACTTTTCTCGTGTGCGGTGTAGGTATACTGTAATTGACACTGACGTTTGTTTTCGTTTGTTGCAGGTGTCCCACGGAGCCAGTAGTCATCTGCCACTGCTGTCGCTGTCGCCATGGCCGCCGGCCGCCTACTGGCCGCCATCTCCGTGATGACCTTGACCTGGGGTCACGTGACCGCGGCGTCGGGTCAGGCGGCGCCCCGAGCTCAACGGTCCGTCGACTCAGATGATGGTGAGTGATACAGGGCTGAGTTTCGTCGGATGGGATGATTGTCTTTTTTGTTGAACCACTTTTTTAAACACCTTACAATAGTCCAGCTTTGACTGCAGTGCATCGGTAACATATTATTCATTTATTTGGGATGTTCCGGAGTGGAGTTTGTTGGTAAAGGACCTTCAAGCAGAAGCAACGTCCTTTCTGGTTGTTGATCTTGCTGTACTAAATGTGCCGCATTGGCCATTGAAATAATTTCGGTGTATCTCTTATTATATTTGTGCGTAGCTGTGAAAGAATATTTCCCCAAAAAGACACATCGATCTTTTCTTTTACCGAAGCCCCAAAAGCGGTCCGGGCGAGGTGTCCCGTTTCCCCACCGCCCGGCGGCCCATTTGCCATGAGCGGCACGTCTTGGGTCCCCTGGGGCGGTGTAGATCTGTCCAGATGTTCCCCTATCGGTACGTCATCGATAGACACCTGTGAAAGCCACCTGAGGTCCGCCTCCGACCAGTATCTCTGTATGGTGTCCACGTGCCGCGCTGTGGCGGCCTCCTCTGGTGTGGGGAGAGGCGGACAGTGTCCGGGACAGGCTGCTGTGACATGACGTGCCGTGCCTGCCACAACGCCGCCCCTAGGACGCCTATCGGTGACTTGGATCGCGGTGGCGTAGTGATTGCCGGCCACAAGTCATGGGATACGAGGAGGAGGGGAAGATCATCTTGACGTATCTGTGGGATAATTGTATTTGCTTCATTTTCATTGCTTAGAAGTTAGCTGGAGACTTAATACTTGGTGATTATTCGGCCCTCACCAAACTTTATCATCCAAAACATTCCACCGCCCTTCAATCATGGTGCCATGTGTCCTTTTATGAGCTGGATTCGTGACATGTCTCGCTGTCTCAGTCTTAGTATGCTCCGTTTATACATTCGTTCTTTATCAGCTGGCATCTGTTTGATGTCACCGCTTATGGTGTAAGTGTATATTCATATTTAGACAGGCATTGTCTCGCATGTCCTTCGCTGAGATCTCGTTTCTCCCGTTCTGTCGTAACACAGGCCTGCCGGCGTAACACTAACAGAGATATGATGGTGGTTCGTCGGACTGGTTCCAATTCCTACTCTCCAGTTTCTACTTTTCTGAACATTTATGTTCTTGTTATTGTTTTTTGTCTTCATTCCATATGCTCGTCCAGTTTCAGTTTTCCCTCTACATAGACTGTGTTTGTTTGCTTAGTATATACATTTGGTTCGTCTTGCCGTGATGCTCTTTGTCTGTTGTTTTGCAAATCTCTCTCATCTCCGTCTATCTCTGTCGTGCTGTCTTTCTCTTTCGCTTTTCCCATCCTATATCTCTCTCCCTCCCTCCCTCCCTCCCTCCCCCCTCTCTCTCTCTCTCTCTCTCTCCCTCCCTCCCTCCCTCCCTCCCTCCCTCCCTCCCTCCCTCCCTCTCTCTCTCCCTCTCCCTCTCCCTCTCCCCTGTCTCTCTCTCTCCTCTCTCTCTCTCTCTCTCTCTCTCTCTCTCTCTCTCTCTCTCTCTCTCTCTCTCTCTCTCTCTCTCTCTCTCTCTCTCTCTCTCTCTCTCTCTCTCTCTCACCGGATGTAATCATCTTCCTAAACATGACCGGGTGTCAGCTCCGATGCCTCTGACGCCGGCTAACTCTGTCGCTTTTTATCGGCTTTCTTTCCATCTAGACGTGTTATTTTCTCATCTAGCTGCTTACCGCCCTCATAACAAGCAGCTAACGAGGCATGGCAGACCCGTCTCGCTGTGCTGAGTGGAGTGGTGCGTTTGTGGGGGTGTCGGAACGGCTCTTTCATAGGTTCGAGAGAGGAAGTTGTTACCATGAATTTGCTGCTAGAGCAGTGTGGATAGAAAGTATTTTAATTATAAGGCAAATACCGCGCATTGTACACCGGTGCCAGGCAGGCAGCGATGCCTGACAAAGAATGGCTGCAAGAAAATGTGAAAAATGACGTCAATTAATGAAGTCATCATGCTTGAAGTTCCTCCATGATTGATTGGTTCGTTATGAGGCAATGAACATTGAAGAGACGTAGTACAATTTCAATGGAAGTGATTATCAAGCAATTTTCAACCGCTACGATCTAGCGCAGTCTTTTTTAAGACCCGTGACCTGAAAGAACAGCCTCGTCAGCCGGCGTTCGGTCAGGTTTCCGGCATGCACAGCGATCAGCACTGACTCGTGGCCTGTTCACGCCACCGCTGTCAGCGCCTGCAGTTGGCCGGAGCGTGTTAACGCTAGCGCTGTCAGCACGTGTCGATCACGTGGAGATGGCCGGCCGTGTTTCCTCATCCTGCCGACACGGAGTGGCGAGGCCGACGATGCGGAAATAACCCCTGCGCTCCGGCCGACCGGTCAGTCGCGTCAGCCGTGCTGGCTAGCTGAGTTACTCAGACGAGACGGTCAGAGGGGGGATGCAGAAAGGAGGGATTAACAGTGGTACGGTGAGTTAAATTCAAGCTGCTTGTTTCTCAAGAAAGGGCAGCAATTATTTCAGTTTTACATAATCTTACATCATCAACATCTTATCCGTGGCCTAAATCGGCTAGTTGCTGGCGAAAAACTGACATTGTAAATAAGTAAGCAATCGGATAGCTGATATCAGCAAATGACGGTAGAAGATAGCTCATTTCCAGAAGTCTCGACTCTGATGGACGAAGAGTTTTTCAGTGCATTTCCACCCTTAGCTCAACGCGAGTCCCTCGGCGTCACGTTGCGATCCAACCTGCCACAAATCTGTCGCATTCCATTCCGACGCGTGTCTCTCTGCTGGCAGTGTGTGCCACCACCACTGCAGGCATCTGTCCATCACTCCTCCTTCCTCTTCCGCTTCAGCTCACCTCAAGAGCGACATCAGTCGCATCTACCAGCAGGCGACCTGTCTCCTTCCTTCACATCACCTGCGTTCGTCTCGCTTCAGGGGAGCGCTGCCTATCCGAAAACCACCTCCGCGCCCGGGCCGTCGCACACAGAGTCACCCATTGTTGCAACACGTGCCGCGGGTGGACGAAAAACGTCCAGGCACCCGCTGGTTGTCGAGCGGGGTGGGTTTTTGTTAGAGTCGGACCGCGGCGAACCAGAGGGAAGGCTGACGGGCGATGGAGCGGTGAGTGACGCGACAGGGGGTCGATCAGAGTGGGTGGGTGTTTGTGGGGGATTTGGTGGGTGTTTGTGGGGGATTTCGTCAGTGTTTGTGTGTGGGATTGGTGGTTAGGTGGGTGTTTGTGGGGGATTTCGTCGGTGTTTGTGTGTGGGATTGGTGGTTAGGTGGGTGTGTAGGATTGGTGGTTAGGTGGGTGTGTAGGATTGGTGGGTGCTGGTGCTGGATTGGTGGGTGTATGTGGAGGATTGGGTTTGTGTGTGTGTGGTATTGCTTGGTGTTTGTGGGGAATCGGTGGGTGTTTGTGTGTGGTATTGCTGAATGTTTGGGTGGCTGTGTAAGGCTGGATGATAAAAACCGCGAAAGGAGGAACCGGAAACAAGATCACTGATTTGTTTATTCATGACTTGCAATCATGTGCCAGACCATAAAGACTGATCGATAGCCGACCAGATACGTTTTGATTATTTCCACAAGATCTAAAGAGCGCTAAGTTCTTAAAGACTCATCGACACGACTTGCCAATTACTAATTTACTGCTTCAAAAGGTTTCAAACCACCTGAAATGAGTTTTCTATAGTTTGTGGAAAAATAACCAGCTGGATACCTTGATAAACCTCAACGTAGTTAGTAAGACATCAACAGCATTAGGTTAAACCCCCCTTGCTCGAAAGTGGGATATGAAGAAACATTTTCCTTCCACCCCGACAAGCGTCAGACGGTCGCGGGACCTCTGCCCCGCCGCGGTGTTCGTTTTGAAGGTGCATCACGGGTCAGAGTGGTCGTTTGGCCACGGACCTCCCTCTGTGGTGGTGCCCACAATTGGACCTCGCCCGGTCATTTGGGGTCATCTAGCCCGATTGCCTCGGGGCTTTGTGAAGTAGACTCGGGGGTCGGCCGGGGATGCTGTATGGAATTGCAGATGATAGCGACTGTGCTCGGAATGATAACAGCGCCGCTGCAATACAGAGAAGTTGGTGGTATGGAGCTCGACTGAAGTTTGGGCAAAGTTGGCGCAGAACTCACGTCGATTAAATCCTAGTCTGGGACTGCGGGCATGTGTTTTGGTGGAAGGCATTGCTTTAATGGTGGCAGGTCACCCTCAAGTGAAGCAACTTATTCAATGGTGCGTGTTGCTGTATTGCTAAAACACTAGCAACTAAGTTCCTGTGTGCTACTTTTAGATGCAAAGGACAAGGAGTCATGCTTACAAATATTGACGCAGACTCATCACACACTTTTTTGGCGTGGCTGCTGCTGTAAAAGATGAGTCATGCATTACGGCCATGCATCTGGTACCATGTACGAAGCATCTGCAAAGGAAACATCCATTTATTCAGGCTCGAGCACATTGATAGCTTGCAGCTGCCGCCTTCGTATCATGCTTATTTGTGTTTATTGAATTCAAAGATGAATCGGGCCTCATGGTCGCTTTGCGGCCAGACTTCTCTAGAAGTGTCTGGTACTGAAGACCGTGTACATAAACTATGCAACGGTAAAACGAGCAATCTCTGACGAAGCAAAACTGTTTTTACATTTCACCAGCCGTACTAAAACGGCATGTTTGCACCATCAAATCGTGTTGTTTATATGCCCAGGGCGTGTAACATATTCCCTTGATTGCCGGAACATTTTTGTGACCGACTCGGCTGATGTGTGAACTCCTTACCGCCCTCCACTCAGCTTGTCTTTTAGCACGCCGCCGGCGGGCGGACATAATCAGACCCCCGGAGGAGCTGTTGGATCCCGCAGCTCTGGATCGTGTCACGTCGGTCTCCCGTCAAACTGCCGAACACCGCCACTGATTAGTACTTGCTCCGAAAATAAACAGCTGCCCCATCGAGGGACTTCTTCTCCGGTCTGCAACGTGGCCTCGTGACCCGTCTCGATCAACCTCTGCTGGAGGGGTTACAGCGGTGGGGGGAGAGGAAGCAGACCTCCTCGCGGAACGAAGGAGGGTGTGATGGCGCTTCTGTTGGAGACTGGCACGCGGGAGTCGAGACAAATGGACAGAAAAACGCCCCCGGATGGTAAACATTTGCGTGTCTGGCCCGCTCCCCTCGCTGTACAGAGTCGCTAATGGAACGCGGGCCTGGCAGGCGCGATCAGGGGGCAAGTGCTACATGTGAAGACGCCAGGCGCCGCCGGCGGCGAGGGAGCGGCGCGCTCCAGGAGAAGTAGCGGTGTTTGTGAAGTTGGCTGTTTGTGAAACGGTTGAACGGGCAGGCATTTACTACGAGTTTGTTTGAGAAACTCAGCTCGTGGGACGGGAACGCAATGTTTGTGGAAGCGGGCTGGGTGCAGCCCAGAACGGTATGACACGGCTGTTGACTTTTACCAGATAAAAATCTGGAGGTTTGCACTAAACCGTGTCAAAACGATGCGATTCTACAAGATGAGACCGTTGCATAGCAGTTTTCTCCCATGGGTCCTAAAAAGCTGACACTTTTTTCGGCCGTATGTGCTTAAATAACTTGCCTTCTTTACAGGCGCCAAGGTCCCAGTCCCCTGATTTGTTCTCTTACCAGTGTGATAGCTAACACGTAACAACGCCGTTCGTTTTTTTTTTTAATGCATCGGCGCTTCCATCGGAATTTGCGTTAAGTTGCATTGATGTGGGTTTGGTTTCCTTTAAAATTTGTCATGTTTGGTTTGTTTATGCCTGCTTTTTCTGTGACGTTTCCTTCGTAACCGTAATGTCGTACGCTGTAAACATATCTCCAAATCCCAGTCAGTCGCTGTACGTTTGTATGTGTATATGACCTCGCCTTCTACCCTTGTGTCCGCGCATACCACTTTTCTACGCCTACTACCATATCCGTAGCTCGGTTCTGTTTGATGCACCGGTGTCCGCCTGTGATCCGTCTGGGTATTTTTGCTGTTTGGTGCGGTGTGTCAGCTGCTCGAGACCCGTGGACGCGGTCAGCGTTTTTCTGTGTTCGGCTGACGGACATCCGCGATGGGCTGTAAATCTCCGGGATTGACAGTCATTGCGGTCACTCGCATGCCGCACAATACAATTCAAATTGACGTGGCTAGTTTTGAGAGTCTTTGCGCAAGTGGATAAGACGATTGCGCGCGGTTTTGGCATCCCTTTGTTTTCAGAATGTGAAGGCGTATGTCAAAGTGCTTTTCAGAAGCGCTGTCGTATTGGTATTTGAATGCCGTCTGCGTTTTTATGCCGAGTAGGGCCGGCGCAGCTAATTATCCAGGTGCTCGTAACTAGATAAACCGGGCGTATGAATGACAAGATGAAGATTTATTGAAAACTGGGCTGGTTTCCACCTTTCTTTTGCGCGCTAATGGTCATATATCACTTTTATGCAATCTGGGAGTGACATGCTCGTTAAAGGAGCCATCAGTTAACAAAAAGACGTATATTGAGGCACAGAGCAGCATATTTTAATAAATCCAACCGGTTTCAAAGACCTCTCGTCTTCGTCATCAGGGATTGAAACATACAGAAAGGAGAAAGGTTACATATTTAAGCGCTGAAGAGAATAGCTATAATCATGCTTTTTTCTGTTAGAAAACGCGTGGAGAGCGTGCTTAAAAATAAAGGTCACTAAAGGTCGTCATTCACTATTTCTTGTTGACGTCTTTCTTGAGGAGGTCAATCCATCCCTGGTAAATTGTATATTTCCCAACGTTTCTGTTCATCTTTTCTTCGGTTGAAGCTTGGATATATATCGCTTCTTTTATTTCTCTTTGCTTCCTTTTAGCCTCAAATCCAATCATTGATGTGTTCTCCCATTTTTATTGTATGTCCTGTGTCGTAGCTGTGTTCTGCCGTTGCTTCCGATGTTACTTTCCGAGCCATCAGTTACTTTAAACAAATTGACGCTGAAAGCTACTCCCCCAGCTGCTTCTTTGCTAAACTCATTTCAGTTTCTTTTCTGTGCTGCTCACTTTTTGCGTAAGGTTTTATGGCAACGCCAAGGCCTTATGCACGTGCAATTGAGTCGAATATTGTTTAGTCTCATGATCACAGAGACGAACCATCGCCATGTTTATTCCGCCAGTTCAATATCACCCTCGTCTAACTCCACGTGTTTTTCTGTTCCAGAGCACCTTCTACTTCCGGATGTCCTTCCTACCGGACCAAGCCTGGACCAGTCGGCTCCGGTATTTCTCGAGGTGCCAGTTCCGACCTACGTGCTCCGCAACAAGCCAGCCACACTGACCTGTCGGGCTGCGCACGCTTTGCATCTCTACTTCCGCTGCAACGACCAGCTGATGGCGGGCAGGGAGCACTCTCAGGCTAGCTATGTGGACCCTCAGACCGCCATCAGACAGCTAGAGGTCAAGCTGGACGTGGACAAACGTACTGTTGAGGAGTACTTTGGTGACTATCAGTGCGAGTGTGTGGCCTGGAGCAGCCGAGGGGAGAAGGTCAGCGACAGCGTCACCATCACCGCCGCATGTGAGTACACGGGAATGGAGGAAACGAGTTCAAACTTCAAACCCCGGTCCGGTCATGCACTTTTTATTCACTGAAGCATGAAGTCATTGTCTTTTGTCATTGTCTTTTATGTTCTCCTTCGTAATTGCTAAGTGGCCCAGCTTACTTTACTTAAGGTGTTTCCTCACTGTGTTTGATAAAGTATCCAGCCACGCTATTTTGATAAACTGTCTCCTATTCCCGCTCCTGCCTCTCTCCCTCCCCACCAGTCGTGCTGTCTGGCCCGTCCCGTTCATCTGCGCTCTAAAATCCCACACCGCCTTCCATTGTTCCGGAGAGCCATTCCACCCATCCGCCGCTCCGGGACGATAACATCGGCACTCTGATCAGACCAGCCGTACCGCCCCTCCAATGTTTCCAGACCTCCAGCCGCATCGGCCGCTCCTCTCTGGACCCCAACGCCCCCTGCCGGGTCTGTTTACCCGCCACGGAAGCGACACACACACGAGCGCTGTTGCCGGTTGCAGAAATGTTTTTTCGTAGCTCTGGATGCCGGTCGGCACACAGACACACACACATGCCGCCTCCTGTGGCGCCTTCCGTGGCGGTGGAGACTATTTTGGCCCTGCAGGAGGGCCGACAGAGTTGTATTTTTAGTGTTTGTTTTCGTCACTAAGCGGCACAGCTCGGGAATGGTATTCCGTGCACGCGTAAATGTGGCGTTGATTGGTGGAGGGTGGGATGGATGAGTGAAGAGCGAGATGGGAAGATACCAGGGCGTCCCCGACTCATTATACCCATTACACGGTTAGATATGGTGCTCTGAAGATAACCTTGCATGCTTGGGTGGTTACCCCACGGTTCCGTCTGGTATTTCTCAGCGAATACCTTCTCCCGCATTTAGTCTCTCATATCGCTCTCACGACCCTTGACGAGAAGACACCAACAGACGCTCCACCGCTTTCCCAGCGTTCGCCCCGACGCTAGCCTCGCGTTTCTTTACCTCGCTCTTTGTGCTGTCCTGTTTTTCGTTGCACCTTGGAGGCTGTGAGCCGCCGCTGGCTGCCCGCTGTGAGGTGTGGGCTCTGTCCCGGTGCGCTGCGCTGACTGAGGGCTGAATTAATTAGCAGAGCGGCTGTCTGTGAGCTGACAGACATCGTCTCGCAGGCTGGGAGACAGCCGCGTACCTCCAGGGTCGGCTGGCCGCGCACAGCTGGAGGTGAGCGCGCACGCACGACGGCGCGACGGTGACGGCTTCTTTAAAAAGCAGGACCCGAGTGAATGAGCTCGAGCCACGAATGCTCAATATGAGATAGTCCCGTGGTGTCCTGGAAGTACTGTGATAACTGTTTCAATATGGGTAACCATATGTTTTGTTACTTGTTAGGATCTTCAATTTGACGCGCATATCAAGCATCTCGTATGGATCTCTGCTTTTTTGTCCATTTTGCCTAATACCTTCTCACAATCAATATCAGCATGTAAACTAACGCCCCATAATTGTTTTTCATCGTCACCATTATTCATGTGTTACTCGAACACAGCTAACATCGCAGATTTCAGTACTTTACGCTCCACCCATTTGAAACAACGCCCCACTTTCCCTGCCCACTCATGTTGAGAGCACCAACACATCCGCAACAATGAGCTCCGCAGTCACAGCGCCGGCAGTGCTGCCCGCCTCTGACGTTCCGCTGTAACCGATTGCCTTCCTCTGGTGCCGTTTCGGAAGCCGATCGGTCTCCTGCCGTTCCACCGAACGGTTCTGTGTCTTGTGGCCGGCGGTCCGGCGCGAGCGATGGAGTGTCCTCTTACCCATCCGGTATTTCGAGGGTGGAGGATCTGCTCGACGGGCCTAAACGTTTTCATGGGTTGTATTGGCGAGTTGATATTCTTCTGGGTTGTGTTTATGTGAGTTGCAGGGGGCTGTTGAGGGATGTTGAAAGGTTGCAATGAAATGCCTGGCGAGATTCTGAGTTTGGATCACTCAAGGACGCACCATCGCTCCCCTGTCATTTGTGGCACGCGCGCTCATGGTGTCTGATCAAATCGGACAGGATTTGCATACCTGCTTATGAATAGCAATGCTGCATTCCATCGGGCGGTTTTTCCAACTCACCAAATACCTCGGTTCTGCGCACTGACTTACCTACCACTTGGCAATACCGACCGAACTATACAGAACAGCCAATCGGGCACAGTCGCGCATCTATTCAGACCTCTCAAAGCCGTCAGCGGATCTCATCTCGAGTGTCATCGAGCCCAAGTCCTTGCTGTAATCTGAATAGCGGCTACCCCTCTGAGGGGCTCTGTCTTGTGCGGCCCCTGTGTATTGATCAGATCCGCCTTCCGTCGATCCATTCGTGTCCGCTCCGACCCTCCGGTTAATCTCCGATCTTGGCAATGTCACAGCAGGCCCGCCGAACCTCCCCTCGGAAGACGACTGGTCTGGAGACGGGCCAGATCGTCTGGAGGGGGGAGGGGGTGATCGGAGGGGGCGAGGTCTGCCGGGGCAGCGCCTGCGAGTGATGGGATGGCAGAGGCAGGCCGTCGATAGAGATTGAGTGCCTTCTGAGGGGTGGTCACATCTGGTTGCTGGTGTTTCGAGCGTTGCTGTGTTGATTGATCTCTTTTCTCAAATGATCCCGTAATCGACGCGCTCTGAAACTTTCGATCTCTGTTACCGATATCATAGCGTCATTTTTGCAAATGATGCCTCGAAGGTTGTATTTATTCATGGTGATGACCATCACCACCAAAACATTCCCCGCAATGGCCACTCAATCTGGGCTTGTAACAGGCGACAAATTACGCTTGCCTCCCGTCTCCCCTACGCAGGAGGTCCCGATCAATTAATCCGACACATCGCGCCCGACACACGCTCGGATCAACCTATTCTATCCACCCTATCGATCTACTCTACCTCCTGATCCACGTACTACTCTTCTCTGAATAGTCGCTCTTATCTAAACACTGACTTATGGTGCATCCCTCTGCAGTGATTTTCGTTCCAGTCTGCCCCTTTCCATCAGATATTTATCAGCTTCCTAATCGTCCAATGATGTTATGTTCTGTGTACTACAGAATTTCTCCCCTCCCGTTCTCCCTCCAGCACCCCTCCCCTCCCCTTCTCCCCTTGGTACCGCCACGTGACCATCACTCGGTCCTCGGCGATTGCCTCAGGGCACGCCCGATCTGGTCCTTAGTCACGTCCCGTTGTAGGCATGTGCGAGCGACAGCGTGTATGAAGCTTGTGTGCGACATAAAGGCTAGGATATCCAGTCTATGGGACCACCCATGAGAGAACTTCCCGTTAGACATTATTGCCTCTCCTATAGATGCACCTGCAATGCTACCTACTGTGATGTACAGCAGCATTATAACGATTTTTGCGGTGAATCAACGTGCGCATTATAGTGCACCTCGATTTGGTTTTGTTCATGGGTTTTACATATGGAGTTCTGGTAATGCTTTCCTAAGCGGGCGTGAGAAGAAAATCGTTCGATATCTCTTTATGGCACCAAGCTCGGAACAAGGAAATGTTCTCCAAAAGTGAAACTTGTTGGTTGTCTTTGTTGGCTAACACTGTCAGCCAAGTACTCCATTCAGCTGCAAGTGAGGCGACTTGAATGCATCACTACCGGCAGCTTTCACGCCATTACATTAATCCTATCCGATCCGTGTGGCTGAAAGTGGAGAAACCATTAAAACAACACCGCTTATGGTAAATGAGGTAATGGCGTTCTTCTGGTGATTTGTGGTGGTGATAGGCCAGTGTTGTGTCAAAGGGTAATGGAATCACGAAATAATTGAACCGGCGCCCGGTGGAAATGAATGAAGATGGATGACCGCCGGTTACAATTTACCGTAACCTAGATTGTTGAGAGCAAAACGCAATCTGGTAAATGATGACGGACGAGCCTGGTGGATAATTCGTTCTGTAATTACGTCAGATAGCAGTCGTGTTGCGCTCTTTGGACGTTAGTTTCTTGTCCCAACCGCTTCAATTAATGGCCCAGTGCAACTGTTGCACGGGTGGAGAAAAGACATATGCTAGATCATTTACGGTGCAAATAAAGCATTACCAAATTGGCCACCTCTTCAGGTTTGAGATAGGGGTAACTATCTGAAATGGCGATGGCCTTGCATTATATTTTTTCCGATTATGAGCTGACATGAGCTTTTACTCTTTCACGCATGAAGATACTTCTGCCAATACTGCATTTTTAATAAGCATGCTATTTATTTGCTAACGAACCGGGTGTGAACTTTGCCACTTCACACACTGACACACTGTTCACAGCCATTTTTAGCGTTTCCGTTTTTCTAACTCTACCAACAGGTGGCAGTGTCGTTTTTTACCGACGTCAATCTTGGACAATGACCCGTTGTGGTTACGCCGCGCCGTAAAAGCGTGCGGTGCGCCAATCTCGCCGACACAACCGCGCCATTATCGGCTCTGCTGTGGCGTGTTTTTCTTCTTCGGCAGTGGCGCCCCGCGTAATGCTTCTCACTGGACTATCCTTCAATGTTGCCCCGGATAATATGGTACTTATGCAGTGCCGTGGTTAGGGTATGCATTATGGCAGCAATGACGCGTTATGTTGGCCCTAGCTCCACCCGTCTATGGTAATGTATAATTCTTCGATACAGGCAGTGGACTACATCCTGTCACTTCCAGCAACTTCCGGTCACTTTTGGGTTACTTCCGGCTCTTATTGGGCCAAAACGTGCTCGGAATAGGTGATCATTGGGAAAAGCAGCCGACTGCCTGAACAAGAGAACAGTCTGCATGGCTGCCTTGTACGCTACTTGTTTGTGATATGTCCCTGGGCTTAAAAGCGGTGACCGGTTTTATAGCATTCGATTGGGAATGCTGATAGTGCCGTCTCAAACGTGGCCACTGTTGTAACTGGTTGTAATTGTTAGTAGCTCAGCTTTTGATTGCGGTTAATACAAGAAGCTGAGAATGTTTCCCGCATCATGCAAGCTCCTCGTTTTTACAGCGCTGTCGTTTCTTA